GATGCATGCTCGGGTTGCCTTGTGCGGAGAATCCCTTGCGATGCCCCGGTTTGCCTCTGTTTGCAATTGTTCTTGGAATGCGTGCCAAGCTCCGGAAGGCTGCTGATTCTTGATTTGCTGCGACAGAGAGCAACAAAGGGGCATGGCAAAGTATTTTCACATATGTATGCATGACTACTCTTCAGGGAGTGTAGTCCTCGATCCTCGTGCCACCAATCACGTATATCAATGCATGATGGTCGAGGAGTCGAATTGCACGACTCAATATGGAATGAATGCACATGAAAACACAACAAAACCTAGACTCCATCATGGATAATCCGGAGTGTCAGCGACTGGGAATTGAGACACGTTCCGTCACTCGGAGTATGAAACGTACCTCGTTTCCCGTGCTCGGGCTAACTCCTATCCCAAGCACAATGCAATATGCATGACATGCATGAATGCAGCTAATATACAACCTAGCATGCATGATGCTATGAAATGGCATACACAATGCGCTAACATACGACCTAGCATACACAATGCTATAAAATGAAATGGCATACACGATGCATGATGGACTTACACCAACATGAATGGAACTCAGCCACACTCACATCAGTAGCCATGAGATGAAAAATGAGACACTCGAAATGCGTGCACACATGCACGCAAACCGAGGACCGGACCCAAGGCATGGCAAGGCATGAAACATGGTATACAAACATGAAAATTTCAGTGCTGAAATATGATGCAAAACAGCCCCGAAACATGGAAACATGGCACCCGATGCATGGAATGAACCCGAAACACGAAATTAGGTACATGGAATGACCTATGGCTATGCAAAGCATGCATTATTTGAACATGAAGTGTCAAGAAAGAATCAAGAAAGTCTCAAAAAAAGCATATTTACAGTTTGAAGCAAGTCCCAAAAACAAACACAAGTAGGGCTAATCTGTCATGCAAAAATGGCCCCAAAAGAGAGATAATGAAGCAAGTAGCAGATTCTGGCCCTAAATGGCCAAGATCCCTTCAATAAAGTTTAAGAGAGGCTCAAAATAAAGCACTTTACAGTTTACAACCAGCCACGAAAACAAACACAAGTATGGCTAAACTATTGTGCAAGAAATGGGCCAAAAGGGAGACAAAGAAGCAAGTGATGGTTGTTGGCCTCAAACAGAGGAGGGCCCTTCAACAAAGTTGAAGAGGGGCCCAAAACATGGTATTTTACAGTTAATGACCAAACCCAAAACAATACACATGCAAGCTTACAATACTATGCAAAATAAGGCCTAAAGAGAGGTTTAAACACAAAGAGCAAAAAGGAAGCTTCAAACAGAAAAATTTCCTTGATCAAACATGAAGAGGGGGTCAAAATAAGGCCATTTAAAGTTTGGACCAGAGCCCAAAAACACAAGCACAAGGGGCCAACAAAACATACAAAAATAAGGCCAAAAGAGGGATAAAGAGGCAAGTGACAAAAGGAAGCCTCAAACAGTGAAGGGCCCTTCAACAATGTTGAAGAAGGGCTCAAAATAATCCACTTTACAGTTTATAACCAAGCTCAAAACAGTTTATAACCAAG